GTCGTCCAACTCTTTCTTGATGACCTTGAATTCTTCGGTTGGAAAGCTTGTTTGGTTTTTCAGTCCCAGCAACTCGGTCGTATCKAGCTTTAACTTTATGAACGCGATCAGTATWTTTTGAACRGATGCTTGGAAATCTGCATTAGTCAATCTTCCTTCAGCGTTGTGGGCAACTTCATTCCGACTTTCACGTAAAATATCAACATTGTTCTTGACATTAGGGTGTAATTTTGGTCCAACACTGTCCGAGAAMARAATGGCATAGGCTAAACAAGTACTGTCCCAGTTTGTTCGGTCTCCGTTTTTCATATTCGTTAAATACCGCTTGTGTTTTATCCGATTTCTCGGAGACTCCATGCTGTAAAAAGACGTGTAATTGGACGGTGTGTCCATCCATGGTCCGTGTGTACTTGAGTAGAGATGATCCCATTGTTGCTTGAAAATCTCTCGGAGACCTTTCGGGATAATGTGGGTGCTAATTTTACACAATCTAAAGTAAYTGAGTTCTTCGTCACTATATTTCATTTCCTTCATCCTGCAATTTGAAGACCATGACACGTTAGTGGTGGCCGAGTGGAAACAAATCGCGCACTTTAAAAGGTTGTGACATGATTTGGGACACGATTTGGGACACTTAGATTATATTTACATCAAATTTACAAGTGCGCGATTTTTTCCATTGGTGGGCTAAGAGAATATACATGTTGACGTCATTTAGGTAAGACTATCACCTGAACAGCTATCAAGAATGGTTTTGGATTTCAATAATGAAGAGAAAATCCGTTTCTGGTTTACTTTCCCGACCCTAACCGAGATGAGAGCTTTCAATAGGCAGTGGCTAACTCGAAAGCTAAGCGCCTTTAGCCACTGCACACTTTCCCCTATATCAAACATGTANTTCCCCATAATTATTTCTAATAGATTAACAATGTTCCTTATAAAATAAGTATGTATGTGTGTAAAATAAAATTGAATTGAATTGATGCACTTGCACATCTCCACTAAAGCAAAAAGGTCTACTTGGTAAAGTAAATGAGACTGAACCAGAATCAATGTTTGATTGAAATCCTATATCTATATCTAGTGGCGCATTTGGTGAAAACGTTGCACTTTATGTTGCACTAAATTTTTGTTTCTGTGCACCCTCTCGTAAAATTATCTAGACCGCGCGCTGGACAAGTCGACCTAATTATTTTTAGGCATGCTTCTATTATATTTATTACCTACCATTTGTTTCTGAGCGCGAATATCGTTTGAGTTCATGAATTTGTTTGAGTTCACAGTCTCCATGCGTAGCCCACATTGCCTTTTCTGTGAAAGYAATGGTAATATATGAGGGTGTCAAGGTATGMCTATTTTATTGTAAAGGAAAGCAATTTGGAGAGTAATTTTCATCCAGTCCCGTGGTAGTCACCGAAACTTTGACTTCGTGGCTATTTAGAGCGGATTTCGTATGAGTGGGAAACGGACGTTACTGTACTGTAACCGTAATCGTACTGTAACCAAATTCTAGTGCCCCATTGGTTCACCAAAATTGTGCAGGCCAGGTTCGGTAATTCTGCAGTAACCGTCCGGTAACGGTGTACCACTCATACGAATTCCGCTCTAATATGACTTTAGTATTGGGCTTCGCTTTTAGCAAAGCATTCTAATTGTAAATAGTGATTTATAATATTTAGTAAATATTATCGAGTAGTAATGTACTAATTAATGTAGTAATGTACAAATAAATATGTTAAGACGAAAAATTAATGAAAAAAAAAAGTTTATTTGAAAAAAATTCATTAAAATTCATGCAAGGAAAAATACTAACAAATAAAATAGAGGGGTTGAAAGAAAAAATGACTTTAGTTTTAAATTGACATTTTTGAATTACAGGAAGTAGATATTACAGATATTAACTAATTTTAATTTAAAAATCTTAATTTGCTATACTACGCATCGAGAGTGGTGCTAGTATTTAGAAGAAAAACGTTTCGCATTCGTGGCCTCTTCAGTTCTTCAGTTTTTGCAACTGTTGCAAGAATGACCCAAGAATGAAAGATCTAGCTAAGTTATAGTTTCAAATTAGAATCCAASTTAGATTTTACCCTCCCCCTCCCCCCTCCTCTTTTTTATTATACATGTATTTATATTTTCTTTGTCGTCTGATCGCTTCGAGAAGCTTTCTTCAGGTTTCTTATATATAATTTTATTATTCGTAAACCATTTCCGCCGTCTAAGTCTACAGCAGATGTTTTCATAGAGCGCTTCGTTTGCATGGTATCAAAAATATGCAAATATACATTGATCAAATAAGTTTGATTAGCTATCCATTGACTTACATCATATACCATAACCTTTAATAAGAGCAAGGGTGTTTTTGTAGAGTACATTCAACGTGTAGCCAAAGCCAATCGACTCGTAGAACCTCTGATCACTCGGCTTGCTTATTTACCCCATTATAGCTCTCTAAGTTTTCGCCATTGTTGGTTAGTTACTATAAATGTTGTTTCATGAACGCCTCAAATCGCCTAAAACGGTTGTGATCAACGCTGAATCATCCTCAAATTCTTGCAAGCTGCGCAACACAGTCTTCTAAATGGTTCACTGTTCACTAACGGACTGTAAACGGGATTGTCTGATTGTTATTATTTTCAGGAGCACCGAGTGGCTCATTAACCGGGGGAGGCCTGCAATTTTTTCGTCGGCGACAGAAGTACACTAAACCATAAGGATCAGATTTTTGGGGATCATTTAATTTGAAAGGCTGCAAGTAGTTAAGGGACATGAAAGGGGATCAGGGCTTATTTTTTTTTCCCCGCAGCTGCACAGTCGTGTTTGATATAAATACTATTTTGAGAAAACAACGAATAAACGACAATCCCCCACCCCCTGCCGCACTTAAATGACCGCCCCTAAGTCGTTCCTCGTGGAAGTGTCACAACCGGTTCGAAACCGGTTTMTGGAATGAGCGTGACAGATGATGTACAAACAGACAAAGCCGTCTGGCACCTGGCGTATGTATAGGCTCCCGATTTACACGGCACGATTGTCTCGTGCGATTTGTAGCATACGACTTGAATCGCGCAATGTAAATGCCCCTACGACTTGTCTAAAACAGTCGTACACAACCTACGATTTTGAACCACTGCTTAAAATCCTACGACTTGTAGGAAAATCGTATACTACAAGTCGCGCGCGACAAATCGTACCGTGTAAATCAGCATTAAGAAAATTCTAAATCTTCTAATTAACACTCCAATGACTTACTATCCTGCCATTTTCAAGCCGTCAAGCACACCGTCTTTCCCTCCCATTCTCTTCATTTTTCCACCATCATGMCAGCTCAGTGTTCATAGCCATCCGTGTGATAGTGTAATCTTTGCAAGAAAGGCTTAAGAGAGGTATCAAAGCCTCTGGAAACATCAACATGGTAGGTTGCATCCCTCCTCCCCTCCTTCGCTGTATCCCTCCCTCTCTCCCCTCCTTCAATATATCCCCCCCTCCTTCGCTGTATCCCTCCCTCTCTCCACTCCTTCAATATATCCCCCCCTCCTTCCCTGTATCCCTCCCTCTCTCCCCTCCTTCTCATTACCGAAATGCATTACTAGATACCAGTCTCGCGCATAGTTTAAACTGAAATTCAAAATGGCGGTTCACGATGAATAATAAGGGAATAAAAGTCTTTCATTTTCACTGAAGAATGCCGTTTCCTTGCGAAGATTTCATCTGAACTTTTCTGAAACGACTGCTACTACTCTCTACAAGCAAATATGTCGATGCTTTCGCTAATCTTCCTGGCTGTTTCATTCCTACAATACGTAAATTCAGAAAGTTCATCGAGTCAGGTTTGTACCTTGTGCTACTCTGCACTTTACTTCCAGAGATATAGGACTTAATAGATTAATTCGGTTATTATTTAGGTTATTTATTATTTAGGTTTAAGTAAGGGCAATCCTSTTTAAGCTAAGAATAGTATGGAAAAGTRTTATGATTCACCTTTTAGCTAATGTAGCTTGGACAAGATCTTGTTTTGTTAGTATTAAGTTATAAGCTTAAATCAAAGTTCATACCATATATCTTTGACAAAAGTTGTTATAAATTTTATATTTGGAACAAAGGTGTTCCATTTCATGAATTAAACATCATTATTATATGATAAAACACATACAGTCATGCAACAATTCAGTAGATTATGACAATTTATTTTACATGTAAGTAAGAAGCAGCCTGTTTAGTACAACAACTAAAACTAAAATTCTTCATATTGCTCTTCATATTATTCATGATACCGGACTTACTGATGGGATATGTCAAAGATTAAGAGAACCTGTAGTTTTATTCATTTTAATTATAATAAAATTTCTGTATTATTGCAGGCATCATATTCAGATGTCCGCTGTAAGTGTATTTGCCCCAAAGAAGTRGGAAGCAACAGAACAAGAAATGTTTTTGTGGCAACTGTTGAGCCTGATCAATGGTAAGCACTCTTCAGTGGATTAATATTAAGGGCCAGTTCACACTATGACATAAGCAGAAACAGAAGCAGAAGCTTGTTCACACTTGACAGAAGCATGTTCTTCTGCTTATGATGTCCCAGTTCACACTCATAATCTTTGAACTTAAGCAGAAGAAAATGAAACTGCTTCTGTTTTCCCCCCGGTTCACACATACAAAATCAACTTCTTCTGCTTATGCTTATGTCACAATGTGAACCAGTACTAAGGGAATGGTAAAATAATCYGTGTATATATATATGTAATAGATTTTAGAGGTGTATTTATTTTGACAAATTRTAAAAGAGACATGSTTYACCAACATTCAATGTATGATGTGGTTTAGATTTGTCATATAATATGGAAAATGAGGTGATTTCAAATATACCATTTGCAATTTGTTTCCATCTGTCGGTTTTAAGATAGAGCATAAAGTGATAATAAAGAGTAAGTTTTTGCTATATTTWCTATGTAYTTTTATTTTCAAACATAACAAAAGCTCTAAATGGWTRACTRTAGAACATGGTGCTTAWTTATAGCAAGTGATATTTKTATGGAYATTTTTACAGTAATTGCCAACACATTGTTAAAAGAGAAGAAAGTTTCTGTCTGCGATGCCAGTGTATGTACGAAGCAAGGAATACTATATTGATAAAGGTAACCCATTGAGTGCTTAATTTTAAATACAGTATTTTAAAAGCAATTATATAAAGAAACTAAGGAACTAATAGTTTATTTTCTCATCATGGCAGTTAAAACTGAATTATAGTGAGATCAGTAAGTAATATATAAGTATATAAAATATAAGTGGGAGACCTTTGTGGGCATTTAAAACTGCGAGCTGCAAGTGAGCAGTTTTATAGCCCATAAAGGTCGGACGCAAACATTCTATATTGCTTATCAAATTCCAACATAAGGTAAAGCATATTTTGAAAAAAAACTTCAGGATAARATATCATTTGTAAGAGAAAATTGAAGTTAAAGTTGTATGCAAATCAGGACAAACCTCTTGCTCATATAAAGATGCGGTCACAGCAATGATTTTCCATTGTGTTTACCTTATGAATTATTAATGAATTTGATAATACACAATAAACACATATGGTAGTTGATATAATGGTTATTAGGTAAGCAAGTGGATGCAATCAGCACAGCATAGTTCCAAAGGAAGAAAATGTATTTCTTCTAGCATTTTTCATTCCTACCCTCCCTGTCACAGATCTGAGGAGTTAGCCATGCTCAACCTTAACTTAACATGTAGATACTAGATAGATTGTCAACTTCTGGGTTCCCTGTTTCTGATTATTTAATTCTTGTTGAATACCCAATGATATCATCAGATTATGCTTTCAAGTTTGCTGTGTACTTGAATGGCTCTATTTAACAATTAGACCTCGAGGTTGAGTGGACTATGAGCTAATAGCCCATGAGGCCAAGTCCACAAGGCCGAATGGGCTATTAGCTCGTAGTACACGAGGCCGAGAGGTCTAATTTTTTTAGTATAAACATACTAATCGGTCAAATAATGAAAACAAATTGAAATTTCCTTAAAATAATTTATAATTTATAATTTATTTATTTTGATTTTCCCGCAAGTGGTCTATCACAAATTAGACCATTAGTAGAG